ATATATAATATATTATATATATGTATGTATGTATGTATGTATGTATGTGTGTATGTATGTATGAATGTATCTATATGTAAGTATGTATATGTATGTATATGTACATATACTGTAACATGTGTGTGGTCCGCGTGTATCGAAGAGTCTTGTAGGCCTGTGGGTGTGAGCACTGAGTGGTCAGATGTACGAGTGGTTAGTCTTGGATTGGGATGATAGTGCTGAGCGTCCTGCGCTATAGGCTCTATGTATGCCACTGATTACTGATGACTTATGAGTGCACGCATATCAATTGCACCTGCTCATACAGTGCGGGATGGCGTATGTTGTATCGTAGTGTACAATAGTAGTTAGTAGATGGCGTAGGTTGTAAAGTAGTGTACATTAGTAGATGGCGTATGTTGTAGCGTAGTGTACATTAGTAGATGGCCAGTGACAGTCTACAGAGAACACGGTGAGATGGTTCACGTATACGTGTTCTGTGTCAGTATCAGAGGGGACGGATAGTAGACAGCATCGCTGGCTACTAGCGTTCCTTCTTAACTACCGAATACGCCCTACCCAAATAACAACTTTTCCCTAAATACACTAAACCCTAAAACCCTACTCATACAGTGACTTTATGGGTGATCTATCATCTATTCGTATTCCCGGGAAGTTTGCAGCGCGTTTGGGTCAGGGCCTCAGTAGTAGCACAGCCACAGTGGATGTGCCTAAGCACCAACAGGTGAACATCGACGACATCACAGCCAACGGCTTCTGCTTCTCCGATGGCGTGGGTCTGATATCGCCTGAGTTGGCTATGAAGGTGGCCGATCACTTGGTGAGTCTGTATGTCGATGCAGGGTACATATATATGTGTGTGTATGTGTCTATGTATGGTATATATATATGTGTGTGTATGTGATTATGCTGGGTATATATATATATGTGTGTATGTGTCTATGCAGGGTATATATATATGTGTGTGAATGTGTCTATGCTGGGTATATATATATATGTGTGTATGAGACTATGCCGGGTACATATATATATGTGTCTATGTGTCTATGTAGGGTATATATATTGGTTTGTGTAGGTGACTATGTAGGGTATATATATATGTGTGTTTATGTGTCTATGTAGGGTATATATATATATGTGTGTATGTGTCTATGTATGGTAAATATATATGTGTGTGTATGTGTCTATGCAGGGTATATATATATGTGTGTGTATGTGTCTATGTAGGGTATATATATATGTGTGTGTATGTGACTATACAGGGTATATATATGTGTGTTTGTATGTGTCTATGTAGGGTATATATATATGTGTGTGTATGTGACTATGCAGGGTATATATATGTGTGTGTGTATGTGTCTATGTAGGGTATATATATATATGCGTGTATGTGACTATGCAGTGTTTATATATATGTGTGTGTATGTACAGGGTATATGTGTATTTGTGTATATACAGGCAATATATGTATGTGGGTGTCTATATACATATTGTATATGTATGTGTGGTATTATATACATGTAATATATGTATTTGTATATATATAGTTTATATATATGTGTGTGTTTCAATGTACACGTTATGTATGTATTTGTATATATATAGTTAATATATGTTTGCGTGTCGATATACATGTTGTATATGTATTTCGGTCTACATATAGGTCATTCATGTGTGTGTTTGTCTATATACATGATGTGTATCTACTTGTAGATATATATATATAGTTTCTATATGTATGTGCGTGTATATACTGCTTATACATGTATGTATGTCAGTGCAGATTATCTAAGCATGTGTCTCCATACCATGTACCACACAGCCCTCGCAAGGGATCACGGACGATGACATGGGCACCAGATGTCCCTCGGCTTATCAGATTCGCATCAGTGGCAGCAAAGGTGTAGTCAGTGTAGCACCGCAAATGACTGGGCTACTGCCACGAGGCAAACACTTGGCAATACGCCCAAGCCAGGTGAAGTTCGCAGGTATTTTATAGGCAATTGTTTCTGGGTATATATTCTGATTTAAACGTACAGATACTACAATATATATATATATATATATATATATAGCTATATAGCCATATACTAACCATTGCCATGTGCTACCTACGCTGAGCATACAACGGTGGCGGTCTATGGCTATCCCTGCCATGTTCATATACCAATAAGCCATCACCATTACCTTTCACCGTCACAGTCACACACACACATGCTCGGTCTCATTGGTGTGAGCCCAAACATTAGTATCTCTAGACCTGCCCCAGACACTCACGTATATTATCTATGTGCTTATACACTCGCAGGGAACCCTAAACCCTAAACCCTTAACCCTGCAGGAAACGCCACCCACACCATGCTGGAGGTGTGTAACGTAGCCATGCGCATTCCTTGTTACATGAACCAACAGATCATTGCGCTGCTATCGGCCAGGGGTGTGCCTGACAGTGTGTTCATGCGACTGACAGAGGACGCCCTCCACGAGATAGAGGGATGTGCAGACGATTGCGAGCTGGCCGCAGAGATGCTCAAGAAGAACAACGGGTCCCGTATTGGT